CTTGAACATATATACTGTCCAGTTTGTGCTGAATACAGTGTAATCAGACTTTAGCCATTAATATGTTTATAAGAAACTGAAAAAAACACAAATTTCAGAGCATGTCAAAACTTCTCCAGGCCCAAAAACATCCTCAGACTTTACATTTGTGACCCTGGACCACAAAACCAGTCATAAGTCGCACGGGTATATTTGTAGCAATAGCCAGCAATAAATACATTGTATCGGTCAAAATTATCGATTTTTCTTTTATGCCAAAAATCATTAGGATATTAAGTAAAGATTTATATTTTATAGATCATATTCCATAAATATATTTTGTAAATTTGCTACCATAAATACATCTAAATTTTATTTTTAATTAGTAATATGCATTGCTAAAAACTTCATTTGGACATCTTTAAAGGTGATTTTCTCAATATTTTGAATTTTTTTTTTTTTTGCACCCTCAGATTCCCAATTTTCAAATAGTTGTATCTCGAATATATATTGTCCTATCCTAACAAACCAAATATCAATGAAAAGCTTATTTATTCAGCTTTCATGTAATGTATAAATGTCAATTAAAAAAAAAATTGACCCTTATGACTGGTTTTGTGGTCCAGGGTCACATTTTATCACATGGGTTTAGCATGACATGAAGGTAAATAATGACTAAATGTTTATTTTTGGATATTCTGTTCCTTTAAATCCATCACGCAATCGATTTGTTTAATCAGACAAGCTGACACCAAGGAAACATACTGTATAATATCTGCAGACATTTAGCAGCTCATCTGTGAGTGTTTCTAATCTCTTCGTCTAGAGTTGCACATTTGAGTGTGACATTTGGCAAAAGTCAACAATGATTTTGGATTCAGCAGCAGTTTTTGCTGGAGTACAGAAGAGAGACTGCAGTTTCACCTAATACTGACTTTCTGCAGGCTCTCGCTGAGCAGATTAATGCAGTTTTGCCTTAGGCCAACATTCAATTTAAAGTTATATAGTTACAATTTTAATTATTCTTTAAGATGATACAGTTTAACAACTCCTGTGATTTCTTATGAGTTATGCAATCCTTTTATATGGGATTCTTTTTGTCCATATTATATATCTTTGTATAAATCAATAAGAAAAGGTGTTTTTGTTACTTCACATTCGCAGTGTATGTCTGGAGTTTGCTGAACTCAATGAACTTTAAAAATCTTTATTGCCTATACAACATGACTAAATATATAAGGAATCTAATCCTAAGAAATGGCTCATCCCAAAATTATGTCCTCATTTACTCACCACATGTTCTTTCAACTGTTTATTATTGCAAAGAAAAAGTGGTGATAATTTACACTGCCAATCTCTAAAAATGCATATGTATGACTCATTCAACATATTTCAATTATTCTAAACTCAAATGATCACTTTGTGTGAGAAAGAGACTGAAATGAACAATGTTATATACTGATAGTCCTTCACTTTTTCAAGTTTCTGAAATTCCATTTACAGAATGAGAACTTTTTAATTGAACACAATGGCGTTGTATCTTAAAGGATCGGCAATCAGATTAAATTTGGATCTGTTTCTCACAGATAGCTATCATTTGATCATAGGAAGACATAGGCTATAGCACACAAGAGATATGAATTACTAATACTGTTAAAGGAAAAGTTCACCCAAAAATGCAATTTTTCCGAAAATTTACTTACCCTGAGGCCATCCACGATGATGGAGATTTTGTCCATCAATTAACATCTTGTGAAGAGGAAAGCTGAGTGTTTGTAAGAAACATCCATCAAGACGTTTTAACTTTAAACTATTGCTTCCAGCTAAAAAGTAATATTGCTTTCTCCAGGTGAAATAGTCATCTCATCTGAATCAGGAGACAAATACGCTTAGATAAGAAAGAAAGAAAGAAAGAAAGAAAGAAAGAAAGAAAGAAAGAAAGAAGGAAAGAAATAAAGAAAGAAAGAAAGAAAGAAAGAAAGTTATATATACCTGTATATATATATATATATATATAAATAAACTTTAAACTTAATATAATTCAGCTAGTTCACAAGGAGACATTTCTCATTCTCATTCAGCAATTACGGGGCCAAGCACTACAGAAGCAAGCATCAAACCAACTGCAGAAATTAGTAATTGAAGCCATTTTAGGATGATTTTAGAAGAAAGAAAGAAAGAAAGAAAGAAAGTTAACTGTTTGTGTGCATCTGAAGTTTAAAAGTAGTTGTAACCACAGCTGTAGGCCACTGGGTAAATTAAATCACAGTTTGCATTTGCTGTCCATCAGAGATCTGAAACATTTCTCTGGAGCCAATTATCAATGTCATAAATGGGTGAAAATGGACCAAGAGTTGCAGTATGTTTAACACGTAAATGCTACAAAAGCAAATAATGGTGTTTAATGGCAAAGGCATAGAAAAAGACAGGCTAATAATTTCAGTACAGTTTTATGGATTTCAAAACCGCCTTGTATTGCATTCCGCCTTTTTCAACCTTTTGCGGTTCTGACTCAAACCATAATTGCTTGCGTATACTGCAGCTGGTTTTAATGTGTTGGGTTATTTATTTATTTTTGCTTTTTCAAACCTGATGACGTGAAACTCCACATCTGCTCATTCCACAAACAATGATTAATATATCATGTTCAAGCACCTTGTTTTTATCGGTGCGAGCTGTCAGCGAGATGGATATGAAGAGGCACAGAGCATGATGTATTCTAGATAGAGTTCCTGACATGCAACCACAGTGTGAACATACAGGCAGACTACCTGTCCTCCCTAATATAGAATCTGTCATTCACTTCTAGCAGAAGAACATTGGTTTAGGGTAAAGTGCATGGCATTGCATAGATACAGCCTCAAGTGTCATTTTGCCATTTAGCACCATGCCTCAAATTCGTTGCTGTGGTATGCGAAAACGGTTTTGACTATCAACCCAAAATCCATAACTTTTTGTCAGCATGGTCTGAAGATGATATGATTCGATTTTGGTGAAAATCGAACCAACAGTCTAGGAGGAGTTCGAAAAAGTAGGTTTTTAAAGAAAATCAAAATGGCGGACAGGAAGTTTGCAGAAGAACATTGGTTTAGGGTAAAGTGCATAAGGGGTTTAAAGGTGAAGTATGTCATTTCTTTGCCACTAGTGGCACCAGGTGGAATTGCAATCCCATCCTGCTTTAGAAACTGAAATTGAGAGGAATGCATATGTTAATGGCAGGGTTGATATAGTTACCTAAAACCATTTAAAAAAGTTTA